ATCTATATCTAGATGTCTCTAGCTATTTATCTGGTGGATACATGCTATTTAAGGATTCTTTAAAAATATATATTTATGCTGCCTTATTTTAATAGTATTTGTATTTTTAAACTTCCTAAGATTTAAACCACGTTATCAGAAAATGATCAAACTAATAGATATGTACAAAAATTAAAGGTCGAAATAATTTACTGGTGCCCCTTTAGTTCCTGGTATGTGGATATAATCTGAGACTTGTGTTTGTCCCTTTTCCACGCTTGCATACACACCCCCGCTGTACAATAAAAGAGATCTATTTCCCCGGTCACCTGTTTGATAAGGAGTGATGGGGCCACTGAGGTCTGCAAGTGGGCCGTTTCAGATACAAGGCAATACACCTACTGCCAGAAGATTGTGCAAATTGTTTAGCTTTAGCTGTAGATGAAAGTGCTGCACATATTGCGGGGTGAAAATACTTTTTGTTGTTGGGAATTTGGAACAGATAAACACGTACTTAGTGAGGCAGTAAGTTGATATTATTTCCTGCAAACTATTTTGGATATTTAGCACTCTTTATAGCTGGTTTATCTGATAGCCTCAGCTAATTCGCTTGATGAATGTAGGCTGGAATGTTATCATTGCTAATGTCACTGACACTGGGTTTTCAGCACCTGGTGAGCCTATTCCCACAATAGTCCTCCACCATGTTATTTGAAATTATAATAAAATTGTATCCCTTCTCAGTCTGCTTTTGTACTTTTAAAATTATTTTACTTTCTTCATTTAGGCGTCCCTCGAACAAGGAAGAAGCGGTGTCCCTATTCCAAGTTTCAGATTCGAGAACTGGAGCGGGAATTCTTTTTCAACGTTTACATCAACAAGGAGAAGAGGCTCCAGCTTTCCCGAATGTTGAACCTAACCGACCGCCAGGTCAAAATCTGGTTTCAGAACAGAAGAATGAAAGAGAAGAAGCTGAGCAGAGATCGCCTGCAGTACTTCTCTGGAAACCCCCTGTTGTGAGCAGAAAGAGTGTCACAAGAGGCATGCAGGCCTTCTCCTTCTTCTCCTCATCTTATTGAATGAATGGTAATCGTGGGCAGAACCGTGTTTTTTTTTTCACAAAAAGGAGCCCATATCACCAACAGTGCAATGTGAAAAAAGTGGACAGTGGAAGAAAATAGGCCTTAAATGAGGAAGGGGGTGGGGGTGTCGCCATTTTCTTTTTTGCCCTGTGGGGCGGCGATGAATTTCTAACTTATTTTACCCCCATCTGACAGAAAGGCCTATAATAGAAAAATCATTTATATGCTGGTCTTGAAAACGTCCTATTTATCTTGACTCTCTGTTTGTCTTTAACCTACTGTTCTTATAGGCAAATTTGTTAAAATATCAGCAGACAACTTTAAGCTCTTACTCCAGTCTCTGGTCAGTGTATATAGCATATCAGTATCTAAAATATTTCTTGGACCAGATCATGGACATACATATCCCAAGCTGTATTTTTTTTTCTCCTTAGAATATGTGATTTTCCACTCCGTGAAAGTATTACCCCCT